TCAGAGCACGGTGACTCCGCGGGTGACGGCAGCGGTGTTGGTCAGAGTACGGTGACTCCTCGGGTGGCAGCACTGGTGTTGGTCAGTCAGAGCACAGTGATTTTCTTAAAATTATGCTGAAAAATTGAAACTCACTTAGAAAAGGAATTTTGCTTAGATCAATCACAAGCCTATAAAGACATTTAATAAATAGTTAACAGCCTTCTAAAACGTAGAGGAAAGGAGGCCCACTCTTGACTTGCCCTGTGTTCAGACTGATGATTATCTTAAAGACCACCATAGAACCTTCATCCAGCAACTGATGGAGACAGAGGCAGAGACCCACATCAGAGCACTAAACTGAGCTCCCCAAGCCCAGTTGAAGAGTGGGAAAAGTGAGAATATGAGCAAAGAGGTCAAGACCATGATGGGTTCCCCCACTGAAACAATTTACTTGAGTTAATAGGAGCTCACCAACTCTAGCTGGACTGGGAAGGAACAAGCATAGGATCAAACTAGTCCCTCTGAATGTGGTTGACAGTTGAATTTCTGGGGCAGACTGAGGGGCCACTGGCACCAGGATTTATCCCTACTGCTTGTACTATCTTTTTAGGATCCTATTCTCTTTGTATGTATACCCTGTTCAGCCTAAATATAGTAGGTAGAGCCTTGGACCTTCCCCAAAGCCATGTGCCTCACCCTCTCTGAGGAGAGGATTGGGGGAAGGGTGTGTGGAGGGAATGGAAGGAGGGGAGGAAGTAGAAACTTGGATTGATATTTTTTTTAAAAAATCTAATAAATAAAAAAAGTTATTTTGTAAAAGAATAAAGAACAGTGAAATTGGTGATCCTAGCGAAGTAGGAGCAGGATGGGAGGAAATGTGCAGTGGCCCTTCCTTTGTATTTTAATAAATAAAGCTTGCCTGAAGATCAGAAAAGTGAAACAGTCACACTGGCCAGCTTCACAGGCTAGATAGCAATGACACACACCTTTAATTCAAGTAGTCACACTAGTTTGCCATAGAAGCCAGGTGATAGTGATGCAAGCCCTTAATCTCAGAACTGGAGAAGATTATAAAATGAGAGGAGACAGCGCTCAGTCTCAGCCTCATTCTGAGATTCCTGGAGGTAGTATCACCGTTTTCAGACTGAGGTCAAGGTAAGAGCCAGTGGCTGGCTGCTTCGCTTTTCTGGTCTTCAGGTTGACCCCCCTCAAAAAAAAAAAAAAAAAAAAACAACCTTCTAAATAGAAAGTATCCCATCCCAATGACTTAACTGTTTTCTGTTATCAAATATTTAAGGGATAAATGATACATCTTTAATAATCATGTCTATAAAATAGAAACAAAGGACTGTGTCATTATTGTATTAGAATAGCATTATTTTAATATAAAAACTAGATCAAAACATTAAAAAGGTAAACCATAATCTAATAACCAGTATGAACATAGGTGTAAAAATCCTCAACAGAAAGGAAGTCAATCATACCCAACTATATAGAGAAGGAATTATATCTGGAGGGTAAATGAGATTCATTCCAGTTTTTCACATCTTGCTCAACACTTGAAAATCAATGTAACCTGTCACAGCAACACAAGTCTAAGGTAAAAAGTAATCTTGCCAACTAATGTGAGCGCACTACCCAATCAAGAGACAGCACTTTGGTGACATCCCATAGGTGCTCTGGAATACAGAGGGGCTTTTTTGCTAACTTACCCACAACCTTCAGCTGACATGTGATTAAGGGTAAAAAGATACTGTTCCTTTAAGATAAGAGGAAGAGAAGAGCAGCGTCTTACAACTCTGACTCACATTTGTCCTGGGATTTCCTGCCTTAAAACAGGAGTGGAGTGGTGTGTGTGTGTGTGTGTGTGTGTGTGTGTGTGTGCATATGTGTGTGCGTGTGTGTGTGTGCATGTGTGTGTGCGTGCGTGTGCGTGCGTGTGTGTGCGTGTGTGTGCGTGTGTGTGCATATGTGTGTGCCTGTGTGTGCATGTGTGTGTGCATGTGTGTGTGCGTGTGTGTGCGTGTGTGTGCATGTGTGTGCGTGCGTGTGTGTGCATGTGTGTGTGTGCGTGTGTATACACACACGCACACAACACACATGTATATATTGGGGAGTTGGTTAGTTTATTGTTGTTATTTAAATTAAAATGTTTATTATATTTAGAAAATATCAAAGTGTCAAAAAGGACACCAAAAATGTTAGAATAGAATAAGGAATGACAGCAGAACTAGGATACAAGCTCCTGCACAATAAACAATTGCTTTGCGACTAGCAATTAAATTTCCAGCTAAAAACAAAGGCAGTTAGAATAGAACAAACTAAAATAGATATATGAAATATTTACAGGCTTGACATGCATCTGTCTGAAAATATTTGGTGAAATAAAATCTCAGATTCAAATAAATAGAGATATTTCATGTTCATGAATTGAAAGGCCATCAAGATTTTAATTCTTTCCAAATTAACTTATATACTTAACAAAATTTCATAAATGCCTCAATAATCCGTGTGACTGATAACAACTCTCTGATTCAAATGTTTCTGAGCAACAGCTAAAGTGTATGTAGAATAGTCAATGTAATACTGAAAAATAGGAGCAGAGTTAAAAGCTCACTAGAAATGGAATTTTACAATCTGAATACTCATACGCCCATGAAAGGCACTGAGTAAATAGTTGGTCACCTTCTTTAAAAACCCAGTGCTAAACTATGGGGTGTGAGTCGTAGTTCAGCTGCTGAGGACTTGCTGTGTTTAAAAACCTGGCCCCGAATTCGTGATGACCTAGTGCTCCCCTGTTTTCTGTTGCAATGTTTATAGGCTTGCATTCCACATCCAGGTTCACCACACAAGAGGAGGAGGGAGGGGAAACTGTGGTCAGTGTATAAAATACATTAAAAATTAATTAACAAAAAAAGATTGTGTCCAACATTTAAAATGAGAAACTCTCCCTTTGCCTCATAGCTTCAAAAGTTGAAGTTCATGGCCAGTTGCCCTGAACTAGATGCTTTAGACTCAACAGGTGCTAAACACCATAGTAGAGGAGGCATTCAGCACCGGAGGCTGCTCACCTCATGGGGGTCAGGAATAGAACTGAGGGCAAGACAATGCCCACAGGCTTCCTCCTCCTCCTACCCATTCCACTCTGGCCAGAAGCCTAGCAGATACTGCTGGTCACATTCGGGGTAGTCCTTCTTCATTACTCTCCCGGGATGTCAATCTTGTTTAGAAACCCATCAAAGACCTTACTAGAAACGCAAAGGCAAGGCGTTCTTCAGTATAATTTGATTGACAGTTATATGTTGTTTCACATGTTTTATCATCTACAGGAGCTGCCCCTTAGCAACAACTTCAGCCACAAGGGCCACAACCTGAGGGGATTCTGTTCCCTCAGGCACCAACTCTTTCAAAGTCAAGGGAAACTTTATTAAAATCTAAAGAACTCACAGCTCAAGGTTTGAGGTGGAATTATGCTTGCTCAGAGAGGCTGAATTGCAAGGCACTAATCATCTCCTCTTGCTGGTGTCTTCCAAACAACCCAGCATCCTCTCTCTGCCCCCACTTAAAAACTCATGCTACACGTGGCTCCTCCTTACCACTTCCTGTTAGCTACTTGCTGACCATTATCCTGCTTGCAGATTAATTTTATTTAATCAAACCCATCTTTGAATTGTTAACAAAAGCAGTAGGAAAAAATGCAACACGGTTTTAATAGTATTCCTCAACAATTATAAATCAAGATCAACAATTGCACAGAGTGATCAATAATACTTAATGACAAAGGACTCTTTAAAAAGGTGAATGTAAGTGAGCAGAGAGCCCAGAGAAAGAATCACATGAACACTACTGACTCATCTTGGACAAAGAATTAAAGGTGATTCAATAGAGAAGGCACGGGCTTTCAACAATGTGCCAGAACACATGTGCTTCCATACGCACAAAAGAAACTCGTATAGCCTTACACCTGTGGCATAACTAAATGCAAACCTGAACATAGATGCCAAACTCCAGAAGTCTCACAAGAAACCCTGGGGAAAGGACTAGGTGACCTTGAACTTGGTGATGGGTTTTGAGAAACAACAGCTACAGTACAATCTGTGGAAGAAAATGATATAACTGGGCCTTGCTAAATTCAAACTTTCTCTGTAAAACCCATGGAAAGAGCTCAAAACCGTGAGTTATAGGAAAGGAGAAAAACTTTCTGATTTATACCCAGAACATAAAAGAACTCTCTTTAAAATTAGATATAAGAAAAGCTTCAGTGTCCTTTTCTTTACAGAAGCTTCTCAGTTTCAGGAGGTCCCATTTATTCAATGTTGCTCTTATTATCTGTGCTATTAGGGTTATACATAGAAAGTGGTCTCCTGTGTCCATGTGTTGCAGACCACTTCCCACTTTCTCTTCTAACAGGTTCAGTGTGGTCGGATTTATATTGAGGCCTTTAATCCATTTGGAATTGAGTTTTGTGCATGATGATAGATATGGATCTATTTTCATTCTTCTACAGGTTGACATCCAGTTATGCCAGCACCATTTGTTGAAGATGCTTTCTTTCTTCCATTGTATAACATTTAGCTCCTTTGTCAAAAATCAGGTGTTCACGGACTTCTCTATGGAAACCATGAAAGCCAGAAGGTCCTGGATAGAGGTACTGCAGAAACTAAGAGAGCATGGATGCAAACCCAGACTACTATACCCAGCCAAGCTATCGTTCACTATCAATGGAGAAAACAAAATATTCCAGGATAAGAACAAATTTAAACAATTCGTAGTCACAAACCCAGCCTTACTGAAAGTAATAGAAGGAAAATCACAACCCAAGGAATCCAACATTGCCAATACTGCCTACAATAACTCAGACATCTAGCGACCCTTCATGAGCTTAACTCAAAAAAGGGACACATACAAACTCTATTAAACAAATAAACAAAAAATAATAATAACCGGAGTCAACAACCACTGGTCATTAATATCACTTAATATTAATGGACTCAATTCACCTATAAAA